GGGTCTAGTAGATACTAAGACATCTCCATACGATATAACTAAATACATACTTACATATACAAATACATATACATATACATATTCATATAAAGAACGCCAGCTGTTTAAGGCATACCAATATATTAATAACTACTAGCTAAGCGAAAATGTGTCCATTTCAAGGACAATAAAAATTCTTTAAAATTAAATGCCTAACTACTAAGAACGACTAAACGGTAAACAGTAAACATTAAACGTAAAGTAATCCAAATTCCATGAGGCTTCATTTGAACTCATTCAATATAGCTAAAGCTACAAACTATGGAACCTACCTACAACAACAACCAAAAATATAATTACAATGTTTTAAAATTATTGTCGTTAAGTGAAAGAAAACAAAAACTACCAAAAATCTGAATGCAAAATACAATATGTAATAAAAACTGAAAGGTATTCTTAAATTCTTTACACCCAAATGTCTTTTTATTTGCCTGCAAAGGCCTGACAACCCTGTTGCTGGGCCACGCGACAACCAAAGGTCAGGGTTAATGCCAGCAGCAAAAGTGATTGTGCGCTCCAAAGAAAAAAATATATACATAAATATATTCAAACATATATATATATGTATGTAAAACCACATTTAATTTCGAAATTCCAGTGAAATATTTCAAATTTTAAGTGAAGCTCGCCCATTAAATGGCGCCATTTTCTGCCACATGCGCATAGACAAAAAACGCAAACTCAACAAATTCGCTAGTCGCTATTGATTTTTCGCACAATGCGAGCCGTCAACTGGTAAGAAAGGCAATGGCGGCATAACGGTAAACCTTAAGCGGCAGCCGGCATCGCAGCTGACGCCATTGTTGCCAGGGCTGTCAGCGGTCCAAAAGATTTTGTATGGAAACGAAGGTGAGTAAAATTCGCATTGCATACTTTAGGGGCTGCATGAAAACAAAAAATGCTTAGCATACTTTTGCGCTGCGGGCATATTCAAGTATAACAACGAATTCAAATTCGAGTCAGAGCACAATGCGTGCAAACACATTGGAATTAAATCGAGTGCTGGTCTTTTGTATTATTAATTACATTTCAGGTTAAACATATAACGCAGATTATAATTAATTAATGACGCTTGTGCCAATTTATCTTTTTTGAACTGAACTTTTGAAAATCAATAAATTATTTATTTTTAATTTTTTCAATACAAGTTATATTTAACTCAAAAGTTGGATTTTTAATTTTTAATATCATATTGATATACAACAGCACATACATTTAAACAAACATTAGCCTGGAATATATATAATTACATATTGTTTAAGACACATTAAAGTTTAACATTTACTTTTGGCTTTAAGCAGTAAAAGTTACAAAAATACTTTGAAATAAAACATATATTGAAATGATCAATAGCCAAAAATAACTATTATTTATTTGAAAAATCACTTTGAGCAAACTTTCAATTAAAAGTTAAGAGTTTAGGCAATATACAATAATTCAATATTAATTATTAACTTTCAATTTTTAAGTTATATGTTAATGCGTCGATAAATCTATTTATCGATTTATTTATCTATTTTCGATGTTTCGATCCATTTCGATTTTGGAAAAACCATTTATCCTCAAAAATCGTGACGAATTCGTCAGAAGTTAGATTAATAGAAATAAAAGTCGGACCTCTCTCTATGTAATTTGTAAATTTTATGATATTAGTCTAGCTGTATTTTATTGCTTACATTTTTGCAGATATATGAGGATAAAGTTCGTAATTCCTGAGTTTGAACAAGATATCTTGAAAAACGAAAGTTTCACCACAAAATTTCTATTTCTACCGATTCTTTGAATATAACTTTACGGTTAGATACTGATAAGGAATATACATTCTTTACCAAGTCAGAGATGTCTTCTTTTGATTCGTTGCACAAGCAAAAACAATAATTTCTTTCGATTGTAAAATTTATAGAAAATATCGATGTACTGATGTCGCATATTCCGTGTTTTTCAGCCGATGTTTCAAGTCTATCTTCATTTCTTTATATTTATTACGGTCAGAATCACAGTAAAACTCGAATAGATGTTCAAATTGGAGTTATCATTAGCATTAGAAGTTGCAGCAGACGAAAGTTGCAAGATTAGAAATATATATCATATTTGAAATATATATAGAAATATATTATATATATTAATAATATTAATGTTTATGATAGCAGCAAAATTTAATCATAAATTATTAGATTAAGATATATTTAAGAGACTCTTAGACTTCAGTCTGGCAGCTTTTTAATATAGTTTTAGTCATAGTTGCCCAATCAATCATAAAATAAAACTGCAAGTAATTGTAGATAAATTTGTTATCTAAATATTATTTTCTTTTATCTTTTCACTATGATACAACAAAAAACTAAATAGAGAAATCTTCCTTTTATTGTGAGTTCCTACAATTTCTATAGAGCAAGACCAGAAAAGGGAAGATTCATTATTTTTTATATTCGACGTCAAACTTTTTAAATAATTGATTCTAGTTCTAGTTATTTCGACCTCCTCCATTAATCAAGGTATCTCTTCCTGCTGATTCATGAAGTTGACTTTTTGGACAGAATTGCCAAGCTGTTGCCATTGTTAGATAGTTAGCTTAGGGTTAATTGGAATCAAAATACCGTGTCGATACATATTTACTTAAAATTCGCTTTCATTCGTGTTGCTTTCGCTTTCATTCTGAATTCTGAATTCCAAAAAAAATTTCATTAGCTTGCCCATATAATGATAATATAATAAAAGTAATTTCAAGCTCATTTGTAGTGTAATTAAATAATTATTATATAAAATTTGCCACAAGGCGCAGCTTTATTAATCACATCGCGAGCAAGATGCAAAGTTAGCAGCCAAGCAGCCAAATAGGTAAACAGCCAGGTGCTAATTACACGTGTGATGCCAGACCAGGCGCAAAGTGTGCCGCACTGCGAAGTGCACGACAAAAGCAGAACCCAACAACGACAACAAAATGTGAATGCAAGACAGTGTTAATTGTAATTGTTGTTGGCCAAAGCTGATGCATTTAGCGGACAGACTAATGGGCGTGGCGCAGGTCAGCCCCCAAGCCGTACGTGCGTGCAAATATTTTAGCAGAATTAAAACGGTAGCTACAAATAATTGCCAAGGGTCTCGGTAAACTGAGTAGACAGAGAGAGAGAGAGAGAGAGGGAGAACTAGAAATAGCTGTGCAACTTTTAATTAGTTAATTTAGCGTTTGGCGCCAACCAAAGCGAGCTCACGCTGCGTATGAGTAATGCACAAGCACACATACGACGCGTGGGCTTTCTTTCTGTCGAGCTGTCGGCGCCCTTAAGGGATTGGAATCGGGCTGGGCTGTTGCGGTCGACAGTGCCGCTGTTAAGTAATTTCCTCTGGCGGATGCAACTAATTACTAAACATTTCGCATAAAATTCGCAACTAGACAGGATCTAACTGCACGGCTCGTCCTGAGCCTTAGACCGCAAGCACTTGTTGGCCCTTTGTTTGTGTGTGTGTGTGTGCGTGTGTGTGTATTTGTGTGTTCGGCTTGTTATCAAACAAATCTACATGCGGTTGGGTGCTAATTCACCAGCGTAGGCCCCACATCCATTCATGTTCCCGCCAGCGCGCCGGCTATAAAGTATGCGGTGCGCCAGACAGACTGGCAGCTAGGCAGCCAGGCAGAAGGGAGGGACGGGGAGAGGGGTGCGGCGCAACACTTCCGCTTTTACACACACATATAGAAGGAGGCGTCAGCCCGTGAAAAATGATCGTAAAATAGCAGAAATTATTTAACACTATTTTGCATTTAATGCAAAAACTTTTCGCATTGCACTTGCATTTCGTTTGCAAATTGTTGCGAGAAGTTAACAGAAGTTGCAAAGTATTTGCAACGTCAACGACTTGGTTACAAAACGAAGCGTTTAATGGCAAATATTTGTGGTTGCCGTGACTCCTTCTTTTTTTCTTTTAAGACCAAATAGTCACAGCAGCTGACTGAGGCGCAATAATTAACTGGTTCACAGGTATGGCCCGAACATTCCCCAACCCAAACAATTTTGTATTAAAAAAATAAATTTTTTCGCTCTTGCCAAGAGTGCTAGACTTGAAGTTATCCGAGCTGCCGAGTTCCAGATATATATATATATAACTTTTGTGTTATTTATACAATTATTATAAAAATATTAAAGCAAGATAACAAATATAATTCATATTTAAATAGTTGTTGTTCTTTTAGTCAAGGTAGAACCTTTACACCAAAATATGGTGTGCCTAGCTCTGAGATATACCCCCCGGAATTGGAAGAACCTACAAGGACTAATTGACAGACAAAGCTGTACATCCCTAGATGGACTCGGAGATGCTTTTTTTTTGTCTATAACAAACATTGGCACAACTTGAATATACCCTTTCCACTTATATTACTTGGGTACGGGTTAAAAATAAAAAAAATGAAAATAAAAATGTGCAACAAAATATTCCAATAAGCCCGCGACTCGCACATGTCATGCACTTGACTCTGTCGATTTGCTTAATTGTCCAAAGGGCAGCCGCCGATTGCCATTCCGGCTGTTAAGCCTATTGCTCATGTTAGAGCCGGCACTGACTGTGGCTGTAGTCCGCAGTCCAGGTTCAGCCACAGTCTGGGCGGGGCTGGGCGGGGCAGAGCAGACGGCCCAAAAACCGGCTCGCCAGCTAATTCATAGACCGAGCGCACTGTACATATTTGCCTTTGGTGCCAAGATGTGCAGTCATTTATTGTACAATAAAATCTGACAACTGCGACGCTGACTGCGCCGTCGACGTGGCAATCGCAGTCACAGTCGCAGCAGGCGTCACACGAACCTTCCGACGACGACGACGACAAACGTTAACGTAACGGCCTTTAGCCGCACCTGACGACGACGACGACGCCGCCGATTCGACCGCGAGCGAGATCGAGCCAACAAAAACGCCGCCCAAGAGGCAGCCGCAGACGCCGATGACAACAAACCCGTCGTGGCACTCGCAGACGCAAGACGCAGCGCGCTTCAGTCCGATCACAAAAGTGAAAATAGCAAATAAACAAAAAAACAGCAACAACAACAACAACAACATTTAAATATCGCGAGAGAAATACAAAACCGAAACTGTTTAAAAAGTCCGCGTGCCACCTAAAATGTAAATACATTTGCTCATCTGATTTCTAAAATTGATTACAAATGTAAGCTAACATATGTTAAAGCGAGCAGCAGAGCTGCAAATTAGAATCACGCGATCTGTTAGCAGACTAATTTTCGCTACCAATGCTTAAAACAAACTGGGAAATCGAATCATTACATAAGCGTGGGCGTGGGCGTGGGCCAAATAATCATGACCTCCTCGTCTAATTACATATGTTCAACGGCAGGCTACGTGACAAACATTTTAAAACCCAAAGGTCGCCCCTTCAACAGCCCCACGTTAGCCATGGAAAAGTTGGCGGCCAACTAATCAAATTCTGTTTTCTTCAAATTGTGTGCCCAAAATAAGAAACTGCAGTGGGAAATTTTCCATAAAATAAAATACCTAAAGAAAAAGCACCTAACGAATTTGTGCGCCGATGCGAGGGTCACACTTTTCTACAGAAAAAAAAAGATAAAATTTCCATAAATGCAAATTAATTCAGTATGTTTTTTCAATAATATTTGAACCGTGGAAAATTTTTCATAAAATAAAATACCTAAAAACGTTTCTAAAAATATCGTAAGCGCGAGGGTCAAACAGACTTTTGTACGGATGTCGGAAAAACAAAAAAAAAAATGCAAATTAACTTAACATATTTATGTCGATCTGGCTTTAAATAACTTTTGACAAGCCTTTGATATAAAATATTTAAATGTTATGCCTCAATATGCTAGAAATACCAAATCTTTTAAAAATTCTTAAATACAAGTGAAAGAAGCGCAAGAAACGGAATTAATTATTCTTTTGTTAATATTTAGCATAATTTAGCAATGCAGAACGTGTTTGAAATATTTTGACCAGATCAACTAACTAATATATGTTTTTTTTTTTTGGCTAAATATGTCACATGAGCAACCTGAACGGGTCCAAAGACAACAACAAAATGAATCTCTTACAGCGTTATCATAATTATTCCATTTATAAATTCTGTTTTACAAATCAAGTATGCGTAGTCCACACGTCTAAAAGTTGAACTTGTGACTGGTTCGAGGTCTCTTCTATTTCCCGGTCTACATATGTGTGGCGCACAGTAGGGCGAGCGCGGGTAACGGTATATGTATGTGTGTATATTTGTTTACCTGACAATGCGCACAACTATTTAAAAACAGCACGTTTAATTAATAATAATAACTGTGCAACGGCAACAACAACAACAACAACAACAACAACAGCGACAACAAAAAGTCTGTCAATTGCTAAGGGCGTCTGTTTCCGCAAATTATTATCGCTTGTTTAGCCGGGCGGACCGCGGACCGCGGCCGCAATCGCATTAGCATCAGTTTTTGGCCGCACAATTGCCCAGAAAATTCATAGAGAAAATTAATTAGTGACATTATAAATAAAGCATAAACATTTTGGTGGCAAATCATTTGACATTCAGCCGCTCACAAGCGACCAGTGCGCAAAAATAGCCAACGTAATAAAGTACAAAAAAACAACGAAAAAAACAGCAAAAAATAATCAAAAATAAACAGAAAACAAGAATTAAAAAAATAAAACAGAAAACGAAACCGAAATCAAAACAAAACCGCGCACTAAAACGTCGAAATTCTGTACAACGCCGGTCGCATTAGCGTACCACTAGCCGGTCACGTGGTCAGGGAGGGGGTAATCAAGCCCCCCCCCCCTTTACCGACCCTGCCTGGCTGCCTGCCGAACGGCGCCTTGCATAGACTTTGTGCCTGTCACATAATTTGCGGTCATTGCGATTGCCTTTTTTGCTGTTCGTTTCTTGCTTCTTGTTTCTTGTGCTCTTTGTGCTCTCTGTTCATCATCACTTATTGCATTTGTGTGACTCGTCACAAAGCAGACGGCGAGGGGGCGACAGTGCTTGGTGTGGTGGGCGTGTCGCGTGTGGCGGCCGTTGGCACAGGAAATCGTTGCCGCAGCTGTGCTCACAGCCTGGCAGACGGCCGACCGATACATAAATACATAAATACTAATAACAATATATTGCATTATTTTTCTATATTAGAAGCAAATAGTTGAAATTGTTGTTTGAACAATTTGGTACAATTTGCCGTCTGGTGAAATTGAAAATATATTTTTAGATGACAGTCAACAAAAAGTGGCTTAAAATATTTGTATGTGCGCAGCGCTAATTGATCAATCAAATAAAAAAAAACCAAATATATCCTCTTTTTTGTCAGACGCAGTCAACGCCAAAATTGTGTTAATTTAAAACTGGAATTTGATTAAAGGTAAGTGTGAATTAATGATGTGCCATTGGCGAAACTATTGGGAAATCTCACTTAGAGCATTGGGTGAATCATTTAACATGCGACACTTTTGCAAATTTATTCAAGGCATCCGGAGCTGCACACACACACACACACATATGCACATGCAGACAAAGGGTGGGTGGTAGTGAAGGGGGGGTTCGTTCATGGCATCTGCTGCTAAGCATGAAACATTTTGCAATGCGTTTGTCATGCAATTTTAATCGCAATTGCATTTTTAATTTTCCTCTTCCACCTGACGCTGGCGCTCCTCGCCGAAGGAAAGAAAAATGTGCGCAACGAAAAAGAAAGATGGGGCAAAAAACAGAAATAAAAGCAAATAAATATTAAATGCAATACACTCAATACACAGACAAGAGACAGCAGCAGCGACAGAAACAGCAGCAGCGCAGCAACAGCAGCAGCGCAGCAACAGCAGCAGCGACAGAAACAGCAGCAGCGCAGCAACAGCAGCAGCGTCTGCAGCAGCGGCAGCCAACTGACAAGCAGACAGCCCGTGGGCAGAGAATGACACGACAAAGCACAGGGGCGGGAGTGCGGGGTGATGGAACATAGTTTATAGAGAACTTTGACTAGCGGGTTTACTAACACATCGACATAGAGCGCATGCAGAAATGCGACTGAGGGTCGACAGGATGCGAGCCGGAACATTTGCATAAATCTACATTTAAATTTTCTCGCTTAGTTTTTTTTAGTGAAAATAGTATATTGGTTTTGTGCAATATACGCTTTGATGTACGTCTCTTCAAATAGAGTGTTAAAACTTATATAAAAATAGATGATCCATACACAGTTTATGAGCTAAAGTAACTCCTAAAGATCGATCCGAAAACTTCGCCTTTGTTCACCTGTCAAGTTAATAAGCTGTGGCAGAGTATTGCGCAGTCGATGCAACCCGACTGCAGCATCCCTACTTACTTATTATGTTTGCCAGCAGAGGCACCTTAATACATTAGCACGCTTTATAGTATGCAACGAATTTAGATTCTTGTGCAACCTCAAAGATGTATTTGAGTCGAGGCTTACGCAACGCGCCTTAAATGAGCCGCATTAACTATAACGGTCCGCTGTCAAACTATGTGACATTGACCAATTAAATGTGCGTGCCCAACACTGTCGGCCTGTCAGTTTGTCAAAGCAGGATTAACCTTTATGTAAATATGACAGCAGCCGCCAAAAGAGAGAGGGGGGCAACCGCGACAGGATACCACAGCAGCAGCAGAAAGGATCCAACCAAATACAGACACTCACACCATCATTCATTAGGCATAAATATTTATGAGCTTTCAATTGAATGCATAAATTGCATAAAATATTGATGTTCATATTGTGGCATTTTTTAAATTAACCACCGAATGGTTTTATATACCCTATATTATACCCTCCTTTATAAAGTAGGTAAGATAGGCTCAAAAGACGGCCAAATGTTTGTCTAGTCCGAATTTTTATTCATATATCTGATATTATTTTTCTGAATCCATGCCAATGTAAATATGTACTATTTGTTTTTTTACCCATTTATTAGTATTATTTATTATTATTACTCGAATATAGGGTATTTGAAAGTCAAGCACTCTCAAAAATAAACAATCTTATTTCCTATATTTATTTTTAATTGCCTTATCAGGATGTTGTTAAGCCTTCTGGACAGTTTTGAATGAAAAAAATGTTTTTCACGTTAAATTCCCACAGCAGAGGTAAATCACATTTCCCAAAAATTTGCTGCCATTCTCCACGCTTGTACAAAGTATTTTTAATGATAATATTTTATTACCATTTATTTTTTACAATCCGAACATATGGAAAATAAGGGTATAACGGGTATATGCAAATGCAACAGGCAGACGGAAGCATCTCCGACCCCATAAAGTATATATGTATATTCTTGATCAGCATCAATAGCCGTGTCGATTTGTCGGTATGTATGAATGCGTCGATCTCTTAACCTTTAAGAACTAGAGAACTTTTAAGCAAGCTTTATTTGAAATGATCAATTACTTGCCCCATATTCCATGCAATGGATAAAAATCGATTCCAAAACCAACATACACATAAAACATAAATTCCAACTGGAACTGCAGCCACTATCCTAAAGGCAGTTATTTTTCGTGTTTCATGAAGATCGGTTAAGATACACAGAAGTTATAAATAGATATAGATTAGATACAAAGCGATGGTAATTAGTTCGCTCCGTTGATGGAGGCTCGAGTTCGATCCCAGCAGGTGGAATATATTTTTCTATGATGCTAGTTATACCCCTTTACTAAGTTAATAGGTGAAGTAAAAGCGAGCGCATTGCCCGAATTACTTTTGGTTTTGTGAGAAGAAAGTTCAGGGTATTTGCTAGTCGGGTAATCTCGACTTCATCATTTTTTCTTGTCAAGAACAGAAATGCTGAAAATTAAATTCCAATTTGTAATTGCTTTAAGTAACAAAAACTAAAAAAAAAATGGTCTTAAAAAGCATTCACATGCTACTTATTTCCGCCAATTTTCCACAAGTTTGGTTGGATTTCACAAAATCGCCTAATATTCAATAAGTCCTTATATATAGCTGTAAGTATAAGTTGAAAGCAGATCGGAGTTCTTAAACTTCGGACCTACAAACTTTGATCCCGATATCGAACAAGAGGGTTGCGTCATAAAATTAATCATTTTATAGGCACTTTTTAGCTCGAATATAAAAAAGTTGTTGCATACAAAGTTGTTTGATATAACTATTAAAAAAAACACACAGCCAGCGCCCTTTAAGCCGGAATCATAAAATTCAATAATAATATTTAGCTAAAATTAAAACGAATTGATACTGAATTGATATATATTTACATATAATGGCTGGCTTTTACAAAATGATTATATGTTTCCTTTTTTGAACCAAAACGTACAATGAATGTTCATGCATTCGTTCATTCATTCATTTTTGTTGGTTTGGAAAAAAACACAAAAAAGTCGCTGGCAAAACGCGCGCGCTTTTTCGTACCTAGCGACTTTGCGTGCGCGTTTTTTAATTACTACAATTTGCTAAGTACTCAATTTGCATGGCACTTCAAGCACGGCAAAGGTTGGCAGCACACAAGCAACTAGCAACAAGCACAAAAACAACAACAAGCAAAAGTGCTCTAGTCGGGTGTGCCCGACTAGAAGATACCCTCGGCCGAGAACCAAGAGGCAATTTACAATCGTTCAGCTATTTTTTTTCCCTTTGCCACTAACATTTTACCAACAACCGACACTTGCCAATGGAACACCAAAATGTGAAGTTTGCAAATGTAACATTTTTCGAGCATAGTGGAATTAGGCTATTACATATGTACATAAAACATCAATAGGCACATAAACTTTATGAAGGCTGTGCTGCTTCTTTCCTTATGGGAAATATGTTCTTCAATAACTTCGCTGTTTATAGCCAGATCATATAAATTAAAGACCATATAAATTAACAAATTTATATATATTGCTAAAAAACTGGCGACTTATAACTAAACGACCTTAAAAGCTATTTAACAATTAAAGTAACTAAATGAAAAAAGATCCTTATAAACATTTCAGGGATTAAACATGCCTATTGAACATGCACAACCTACGCCATATTTATCTATCTATAGATATTATTCTGTAAATAAGTGGATATAGGAGAAAATTATGAACTAGTCTTACTTTGGATATACTAAAATATACATTTCAAGCCTCTAGCTTTAGTATTCCATAGACGGATTATAGAGACGGACAGACGGACATAGCTATTGGATCAGAGATGCTTTCTTTGAGCAGTTACATATATTCTCACAAACCCAATTCACCCCTTGCAGTGGATTCAACAACAACATCACGTGTTCAGCGCGTTCGCGTGACAAACAATTAGTTCACTGCAAATTGTTGCTGTCAATTTCTTGATTCGCCCTGCGTCCGAGCCGCAAATGATGTCAAAAGCATTTGGCATTAACACGTTGGTCAAGTAGTTTGTTGTTTTTGTATATTACCTGCTGTAATTGAAACACACAAAAAGACTTCTAATTGCAATTAATTTGAAACGCGTTCCACAGCGCTGCCCGCCTCTAAGGTCATAAATGTACCTAAAATGAGCCGCTAAAAAAATCTGCCATATCATAGTTAGTTAGATAATTAATTACGGGGCAAGTCGGTGCTTTGATGATGCTGTTTGTTGATGGATTGTTTAACACATAATGCAAATTCAAGTGTCGTAAAATAAAACTAGTTTCGAAAAAGTTCATTAGTGCGAACGTGTCGCCAATGCGAAGCCCAATGCCAGCCACTTCTGACTAATCAATAGAAAAATCGCAAAAATCGCACAAAGTTCAACGACTGCTGAAAGAGTTCGCTGATTGATTGCATATGACCCAAATTGAATTGCGAATCGATTCGGCCAAATAGCAGCGCATTTAGTGCAAACATGCAAACAGAAATCGAATTACAATCGAACAAACAAACAAACAGCCGAACAACTGTAAAACAACAAACATGCCACATGCCACATGCAACATGCAACATGCATGTTCCCAGCAATTATCAATGCAATTCAATAAAAATGCATTCACAAGCGCTGCATTCGTATTGGCGGGCATTGAACTACAGAGCACACTCACACACACACTCTCTCACACACTCAAAGGGCGTCTTGCAGCTTAACCTGTTCCCATGCATTTGTTGCTGCAACAACAACATTAGGAAACGCCAGCGATTCACAAATTAAAAAAACGCCCGCTTGCACCTTGTTACCAGACCTGCGTCAAGTTCCGGCCAGAACACAGGCCACGCCCACTTACCTGCAGCTCGCGCAGACAGCAGTGATAAATACGACGACAACAGACAACAGACCAGAGACAAGGAAGGCGTACAAGGTGCATCCTCTGCTTCGGCCTGTTGTTGGCTGTCATTTCAACTACATTTGGACAAAGTTGAGCCACAGCCATTTGGCTTAAGCAACCCCCCCCCCCCTCCCCA